ATTCTGCTCCGTGCTTGTAGCCCTCCAGAGCCAAAGAAACCCCAGACAACAGACGCCCATACGCAGCCTATAGCAGTAACTCCCCAGCCCGGTTTCCGTGCGGTAGTTTACAGTATTTAATTTTATATAATATATACTATTTATTATAGCATTTTGATACCTCATTCCGTTTACACATCTTGAAAGCCGCTCAGTAATTCTCCTATTAATTAAAGAACCACTACACTAGAAAATGGCATCTAGTGTGGCTCCGATTACTAGTACTCTAGCTGCTGTTACTGCTGCTGCTCCCTCGGTGGATGACAAACTATGGATGCTCATCCTGGGCTTCATCATCGCATTTGTCCTGGCATTCTCCGTGGGAGCCAATGATGTAGCAAATTCGTTTGGTACAGCTGTGGGCTCAGGTGTGGTGACCCTGAAGCAAGCCTGCATCCTCGCTAGCATCTTCGAAACTGTGGGCTCCGCCTTGCTGGGGGCCAAAGTGAGTGAAACCATCCGGAAGGGCTTGATTGATGTGGAGATGTACAACTCCACTCAAGGCCTGCTCATGGCTGGCTCTGTCAGCGCTATGTTTGGTAAGTTCTTGTTGTCATACCTTCTGCTCTTTCCAGTGCCAGAACCGATTTGTGTCTTGGGGTGGTTCCGTTTTTTTTTTTTTTTTTTTTGTCCCGAACCTTTTCCGCTTATTTTCACGAGAATGCACTGCTTACGTAACGGGGTTTTGCCATTTGCCCAATGAAATTTGATTGATTTTTGTTTCAGGTTCTGCGGTGTGGCAACTAGTGGCTTCGTTTTTGAAGCTCCCCATTTCTGGGACCCATTGTATTGTCGGTGCAACCATTGGTTTCTCCCTCGTGGCGAAGGGGCAGAGGGGCGTCAAGTGGTCTGAACTGATAAAAATTGGTACGTTTAAATTCCGAATGGTTTAGGTTTGTTCTTGTCACGCGTTTCTGGACTACGGTGTATGGGGAGTGAGTGAGAGTGCGTGGCGTAGAGTAGGGGGCCACATTTAATAAGAGGGTCGGAAATGGAAGAGCTAACATCTCAGGAACATGTTTCCTTGGTTTCACGACTTGACACTTTGTGTTCTATTCCAGTGATGTCTTGGTTCGTCTCTCCACTGCTCTCTGGTATTATGTCTGGAATTTTATTCTTCCTTGTTCGTGCATTCATCCTCCGTAAGGTAACGTTCCTACTTACGACCTTTCATGAGTCACATTCAGTCTTGTTCAAACTCACTGGTATTCTTTCAGGGGTTACTGGTATGTAAGTATGTGACTTTGGAACGTTAAAAAAGTTCTTTGTTTTCCTGTATGTTGTGGCGTTCTGTGAAAGAAGTAAGTTTTTAATACCCCAGAGGGCATTCAGGAAGGAAGAACTGGGTGGTTCTATGGGCTGCCAAGAAATAAGAGAGACTGGGAGTGAAAAATAAGGACATTTGTTGAAGGTGGCTTTGTCTAGCCATGTGCAGGTTGCCACCTTATCTAAACCACCGTTACATTCAGGACAATTGGAATTGTAACCATTGAATTCAACATGTTACAGTATCCTGTGGCTTTTGAACTGCTACTTCAATAGTCTCTCCCATGCTGATCATTAACTACACATAAGCTACACATGAGGCCCTGACTTGTAGGGACTCTGCTTTCTCAGGTGGAAAGAGCAGGTGAGACAGGTTGTTAGGTGGTTGGGTTTTTTGTTTGTTTGTTTTGTTTTGCCTTTTTTTTTTATTTGCTTAAAAAGTTCAGGTAGCCATTGAATTTCCTGACTACTTGAAAATCCCTTTTGAGAGATCTAGTGGCATTTCTTTTATCATGGAGTCTGATCCTGGCTCCACAATAAATGTAGATAACAAGGGATTATGTTGGCACTGGACTGAATTACAGAAAGAATAAATGAATTTTTCTCAGGAGACAGTTGTCCTATTTTCTAGGGTGAATGGCTCTTAAGAGTCCTTTGTTATATTCTTTTAAAATTCCCCTAAACTGTAGAAATCTGAGTGAGGGGAGGTAGGAACCTTATCCCAACTGAAGGAGTGTGTTTAGACTCCCTACTTCTTGATCTAGTTCTGAGTCTCTGGGGATGATTTATGTCTTTCTCAATAGAAGTCCTTCCCTGGCTCTTTCCTGATTCTCTATACTCTGAGTGTGTATATACTCATTTGTCTAGCAGGACATGTTTAGCATGTTGAGCATTAGAAATATCTCTAGCTGACAACTGACCTGGGCCCTCAGCACATGTGTTACAGTTGTGCAGCTTGGTCTTCTTGTGGGGCTTCTAATAGTGGGAGCAGGGGCTGTCTGACTATTGCCTGCTCTTGGGACCATTTGTTTCTGGGTTGCTTCATCCAGCCTAAATAGGAGAGAGATGCCTAGTCTTGCTGGAACTTGATATGCCATGGCTGGCTGATATACATGGAAGGCCTGTACATTCCTGAAGGGAAGGGAGAGGGAGGGAAAACTTTGATTAATTAATTAAAAGTATTAGCAAATGAAAGAAGGAAATATCTCTAGATTGGCACAGCATGACTGAGTAAACAGTTCGCTGATGCGGTGACCTCTAGATTTGGTATTCTTTCATCCAGCAAGCAGGTATAATTAGCACCCCGCCCATTCCCTAACTGTAGTATATGGTAATTTGATTCCCACCAGTACCCAGTAGTTTTTTAGTGTTCCTGTTAGAGCCATGTATCTCTTGACATATCAGAAAACCAGAATAATTAATAGGATGCTATTTGGATTCCTGTTTTATAAAGGTTTATGCTGGCCCCTTTGATTTTTGGGAAATAGATCATTCTGATTCTGAAGATCCTCCTCTTATATGATTTCATGAAACTGATTGGTGGTCATTCCCAGAATGGAGAACAGGTGCAAAGAGGGCTTTCTCAATGTCCAGAGCCTCTCATTGAGGGTGTGTGCCAACCGTCTTGACTCTCACTGTGTTACTGGGAGTTCAGGCTGGCTGTGTTAACCGATTATTCTTTTGTATGGTCTCATGTAGCCCAGACTGGCCTTGAACTTCTGGTCCTCCTGCATTCACCTCCCAAGTTCTTGGGTTACTGGTGTGTGTCCCTATTCTCATCTTAACAGAATGTTTCTTATAAGAGTATGCAGTGGGCATGATGAAGAATGATGGATGACGTTTAATTTAATACAGTGCTGACTTTGAGGCTCTGCCCCCTCTCTGTCTCTCACTTGTTCACAATCCCTCAGTAACAGATGAGGGACCCCTCTCTTCTCTCCCTCCATATAACTGAGTGATGTATATTCACGTAATTTCCAAGCTTGAACTTCTTGGTCTCATTCCTTCCTATATTGGACTCAGTAGTTCCTGGAAGTCTCTAGACTTGACGGAATGGCCTAGTGCATAGTTGGTTTGTAATCTTTACCACTATATGTAAAAGATACGTAAGACACATGATGAGAAAACCATTTTATAAAAATCACCAGCCTAGTTACCTCTTGGGAAAAACTGGGAGGAGGCTAGAAGGGAGAAGCCTTCCTTATTTTACTGTGTTCCTTGACTCTTACAAAGTCTTTTTTTTTTTTTTTATTTTTAACCAGTTAGCCTGTATTTCATAGTGTATTAAGACTAGTCATTCCCTGCCCTATCCCAAGCTATTCAGTCTTTATTTTAAATTTATCGATATTTTGCCACTAAGTCTCTGTAGCACAGGTTGACCTTGAACTGGGGGTAAGGGGTGGGGGAGGGACGGACGGACTTTTGCTCAGTGAGTCCAGTGCTGGTGTTACAGGTGTATAGCACCTTGTCTACGGTGGCTCCACCCACGATGCTACTTACTTGGGGGAATATTTAATTTGGCCCCAAGGGGGGAAAATATATATATATATATAGGCTGCTTGTTACCTAATGAGTCAATTGCTAAATAGCCTTTGAAAATTTGGTAAGAGTTCCTACCTAATGTCTATAGAATTTTCTTGAAACCCTGGGTTTGCTTATCTTCCTCAGGCTCTTGTCTGCCTTTAGGTGTGGCCTGCAACTATTTAGTTATTCAGTGGTGAGTCATAGGTTCTGTAGGTTGTTTCTGATCTGGTGTCTCACTGTTAGTGTCCTCCTAAACAGTGAGTAAAGCTTAAAATTAAGTATTTTTCAGTGAGGGTCTAGACTGATTTGAAAAGCCATCCTTTATGAGGGGCTTTGTGCTTTTTAACTTCAATGATTTTTACACTGCCTCTCCCCCTCCCTAAAGTCGTAATGATTGTCAGAAACTTTGGAATCCTCTTTGGGTCTTCACCTCTGTCTCATCTTTAAGATTATCATGGAATTGTGACAAGGGTAGCATTAAACTTTTGTGCTGAAGGTTTGGCTTTCCTGATGGACCTATGTTCTCATTCTTTTAAGTGTTTGGCTTGGAAGTTTTTCTGTGGAATTATCAGTAATACATATGTATTGTAAAGGAAACTGTTTTCATTTTCAGTCACATTGGCCTTTCGTGATTCTTAAACATCTCACAGTTTTGCCTTGGGATCTTTGCACTTGCTCATATCTTGGCCCACCTCACCCAGTAGTGGACAGGTAGCTTGCACTTTTCCACACCGAGACATTCCTATGTCAGCCCCTCACTCCCAGACTTCAATTAAAATGCCCCTCCCCCATCAGCATCCTCTTGCCTGATTTTTCCTTTGAAGTATTTGTCAGTGTGTTACTGTATAGTAAAATATGACACTCAGTTCTATGAGAACGGGTACTTGGTCTGGTCCCTCTACTTCAGGGCCCTAAACAGTTCTTGACAGTCACTTGACTGAGTGGATGACTATGTTCACAGTTGATTTAACGTTGCACTTTGATAAAGCCTTATGTCACATTCATCATATATATATATACACACACCATATATATGATAGTTGTGTATAGTCTGCACATTTATTTTTATTTTTGGAGGCAGAACATTGGGAAATGAGTTTTAATTTGGTCTGTTTATCTCTTCAGTACAGTACATCCTAGGCCTATGTTCATGTTTACAGATGGACTTTGGATAACTCAGAAGAACTGGTTATTTGGGGTATCAGTCACATCCTTGTTAGTAAGAATAGAGAGAAAAAGTCACCTATGGATAGAAAGTGGCATTAGCTTTCTTAGGGAGCAAATGCAGGACAGAACTTACTTGGCTTTGTAGAAATTAAAGTGGGAGGTTGCTGTTACCACCTGGATTCCAAGGCCTGCCTTCGCACAGGGTGCTCTGGAAGTGGGTCTACATTTACAACTTTTAAGATACTGATCTTAATGTTTTACAGGCAGATCCAGTTCCTAATGGCTTACGTGCTTTACCAGTTTTTTATGCCTGCACAATTGGAATAAACCTCTTTTCCATTATGTATACTGGAGCACCGTGTAAGTACAAATCAAGATATTTAAATGTGAATTTAAGGTTATTTACAAAACTTGCATTAAATGCCCAATTTACCCCTTTTTGCTTTACAGGGCTGAAATCTCCTAGAAGGTGGCTGGCCTGCGCCCATTTCAGAAGGCTGCAGGCTAGTGTATGCTGAGTTAACCTAGATAGTTTTCAACCAAAGAGACCTGCTCAGATTCTAAATCACTACAGACCTTTCCTCTTTAGTCTTCACAGGATCCACTGATAATATGACCTTCTCCCTTCCCTTTCTCATATCTATGCTAAAAATGCTGGAATTGATACTGGCCTCAACTACTGAAGAGTCATTAGTTAATCTCTTCTTCAATAACTGGTCATGTAGGACTGGTTGTTGGGTGTCATTTTTCTCTCCCAGTTGGAGCAATTTTAGTTTCTAAGTTCTCAGTTTGCACCCCTGAATTTACTTGAATGCGAAGAGTTGAATGTCTAACACCTGGTCTAATTACACGTGGAAGAAGAATTTCTGCACCTAAGAGGAAGCATTTGAGAGGATAGGAAGGTTCTGGTGTTGACTGCTTTCATAGTGGGACTCAGGGAAGGCAAGAATTCATTTATGACAACAACTGAGAGATTGATAGCTTGGACCTTGTGAGGCAGAGCAGTATAGTTCTGGCATCTAGGATCATTTGGCGTGCTGGTTCTGCATTACATAAGAACCTAGACAGTTACTGCAATTACTCTTCTGACTAATCTGTGAGAAAAATTGTGTGCTGCCCAGAGCACGCCCATGTCCATGTCCGTGTGTGTAAATAGAAAGGTAGCAAAGGGATTTGTCCTTATGTAATAGATGCTCACATCTTCAATTCTTAAAGGATTTTAATGCTTGTGACCTCTAACTTGGTTCCACTTCTGACTACTGGATTGTGATCTGTTTATTATTGCCACTGAAATTATGTAGTAAGTCACTGAGGAAAACAGAAACAGCTAGCAGTGTACTTCTAACATTTTTGTTCTTGAAATGTCAGTAAAGAGACAGGCTTTCGGGCAGGACTAGTCTTGATGCAAGAACTTTGCTACTCTTGTTCTGTCCTTTATGGATCATTTATAAGGAAAACCAGTTCTTTCATTCCTTTTGACTTGGAATGTGGACAGATTTAAATTGTGATAGAGACTGACTAAAGCTCATGTGTATTTTACTTTGGTGGCTAACTGCATGGTCACAGTTGAAAGCAGAACTTAAAATGAAGAGACCAGTAGTCACCACAGAACTTCAGTTTATGCCCAGTTCTTAAAGGCTAGTTCTTGTATTTTTTGTCTCTTTCAGTGCTGGGGATTGAATCTAGGGCCTTATGAAGCTAGGCTGAAGCTACCACTCTGACCTAAAAGGTTTTGATGGAACAATAATGTTTCCATTTTCTAAGTGACTTAACATGCAGTAAGCACAATCAGGTGAAACAAGTGCAGGTGACTACCATGCAGACAGTGGTGCCCTGGGCTCAGTAACGTGAAGTGGTCTTGACTTTAGTGCAGGCAGCAGCCCCAGTAGACTGCATGTAGTGGTAAGCTGGTACTGACCAATGCTGCTGATCCTGAGAGCCTTGAGCCGAGGGAACAAGAACAAGTCTCTCAATGGCTTGTTAGTGAACTACCCCTAAACCTTTCCTTTGTGAAAGACCACTGTTTAAACTCCTGTCTTGCTGTAGTTAACAGCCCTGTTTTCTGTTAGCTTGATGGTAGTTTTGCAGAGACAGTCAGTTTCCCTGAAGGCTGCCTGGTACAGTGACTGTGGCAACTTTCTACAGTTGTGTCAGCACGACACTTACTGAAGCACCTTCTCTTTTTAATGTTAAAATAATCATGTGTAAGGGTAATATGTGACAGTTAGAGTGAGGAGCTGGGTGGAGAAAGGGATGCTTTGGTTGATTTTATAGCTTCCGGTCGTCAATGGAGTGATTCCAAGAACATGAAGAAACTTAGGGCCTGAGTCCAGCAGTGATTCGGTGGGGCTGGCTGCTGTGGGATAAGATGGTCAATGGGTTTTCTCCATGGTCTGTATAGCCACTAGCCTCGTGAAACTCCAGAAGGACAGCAGCTTCAAGGGTGATGGGCTAGCTTGGGGAAGCCCCCCTTCCCCTCAGGAAGGTTTACACGTTGTTACAGGGGGCTGTTGCCCTGGGGTTTTCAAGATGCACCATTTTATCTCGTAGTGCTGGGCTTTGACAAACTTCCTCTGTGGGGTACCATCCTCATCTCGGTGGGATGTGCAGTTTTCTGTGCCCTTTTCGTCTGGTTCTTTGTATGTCCCAGGATGAAGAGAAAAATCGAACGTAAGTAATACAGTTGAGTGGTGTTCTCCCCTCCTCTTCCCTCGCTCCCTCATCTATAAGAGTACACTGTTTGGACAGACTGACAGCATAGGGTTTTAAATGGACTCCAAGTGGCCTGAGACCTAGCCATTAAGAATATGTGACTAAGGGTAGGTACACAGTAATTTTGATAGAGAAAGCATTTGCCTCAGCTGCCTCTGTGTACTCAGCTTAGACATGTGTTTCAGTGCGTGTACACATATATACTTCGTAGTGCAGACACACAGCCATGCACATAGTTGTTGTGCTAGAGCTATAACACATGTGGAAGTAAACAGTTGTAGGTATAAGTAATCTCTTAAGTTATTGCAGAATGTTTTTGTAGTGTCATTAAATACTGAGTAAATTTTGATTGGTACTAGTCTTTGTTTCCTTAGTGGCTAAGATAACTTAGAAGAATCCTATTCTGTCCTTTCAGTGTGTGGAATGTTAGTACAGGGATGCATAGACCGCAGTAGCGCTGAAGGAATGCTGCGTCATTGCAGCTGAACTGAGCATCTGCCCAGAGCTCTGTGCTAGTCAGCTGTGCCACATGCACAGTGGGAATGAGGCTTTCAGGACTCTGACCTCATTTTTGTCTCAGTCTGGGAGGAGAGACAAATCTTACTTTAATGCTATCCTTGTGTGAGAGGACTGAGCCAGTAGGTGAACATGGTGAGCACTGGCCTGATAGGCAGAAATACTGCCTGGCTACCGGCTGTGGAAATGTTAAGGCGTGACTGTTACCTACAGCTCAGTTGTCTGTACTCGTGGCCTAAGAGTTAGGAGATTCCTTAGGGGCAGTCTAGCTCTTTAATCAGTTTCCTTGAGCTCCCTTTCATGATTGAGAGCTAAGAAGAGATTTACACTTGTAAATAATAAAAATAAAAACCAAGAAATGGACCAGAACCCTAAAATATTTATTATCTGGCCATTTACAGCAGTTTATCCTCCTCCTTTTCTCCCCAGTAGAGGGTGTGGTGTGTAGCTGGCATGCTCCTAGGGGAAAGATGAGTTCCTGGCATAATAAAGAGGACAGGAATGTTAGCTTGAATTTTTAACTAGAGTTTACACCTTTTATTTTGAGGTGGGTTTCTGGGGTGGATAGAAAAGGATATGGAACAAAGTGGTATAGTCAAACCAAAAATTCCCTTTATTTTCTAGGAGAAATAAAGTCTAGTCCCTCCGAAAGTCCTTTAATGGAAAAGAAGAACAACTTGAAAGAAGACCATGAAGAAACAAAGATGTCTCTTGGGGATGTTGAGAACGGGAATCCTGTGTCTGAGGTGTCATGTACCACTGGGCCTCTCCGGGCTGTGGTGGAGGAGAGAACAGTATCATTCAAACTTGGGGACCTGGAGGAAGCTCCAGAGCGAGAGCGGCTTCCCATGGACTTGAAGGAGGAGACCAGCATAGATGGTACCATCAATGGTGAGTTGACTTGCCAGGGTTTTCCCATGTCCCTGTGGGTGTGGAGAGGCTGCGATTCTGGACTGATACACTTTGCATTGAATGTTACCTTTTTGGTTACCTTGGCTAGGTGCAGTGCAGTTGCCTAATGGGAACCTTGTTCAGTTCAGTCA